AATTTTACAAAAATATAAATGTGCAAATATGAAACATGCAGGTCAATATCACCTTGCTATTGGTAGCTGAACTGTCAATACCCCAACACAATCTACTTTTGAGTTATTTGACACAATTAACACTTATAATTTCATGTCTTGTTACATAAGAATAGATCTATTTGTTAAGTGTTACTATGGGAGAATAACTATTCTTGTGGTACTACTGCCTTATTAGGCCCATATTGAGCAGCGCATATTAAGACCAAAACTCATGTACAACAACTTCCTTACTTGCAATAAATAAGCACTAATTAGAGGGTTATTGAGGAAAAACTCTCAACTAATGGCTTATTACTTGTAGAATATGGTCATGTAGAACATGGCATTAATAAGTGTTTTATAATGACTAATAAAGAGCTAATATACTGCTAATATGCATGTTAATTAACAACTAGTTTATGGTTAATTTGTGTACCTTAATATAAAGTGTTACCAATCTTTTTTCTCAAAGCAATGATAAACCTGTGAGTTGGATGTAGAAAAGTCAGAATCAATATAGAATCTTTTTTATTTTAAAGTAAATTCAGATTGAACATAGTAAAAAAATATAAATGATAGTGTCCGTCCAAAAATAAAACATTACTTATAGTGAAAACCACCCTTGAATGATGGGATAGTAGACTAAAAGCTTTAGGAATCCAAACTATAACATATAATAAGTACCCTGTATCAAGTTTGATGCAAAACAAGTGACATTTGACCTTTTTAGAGAGGTTTAGCAAAAGCTGCAACTATATATTAATTGTTATTGACATAAATATGAAGATGGATTATCAGTAATCATTTCAGACACATTGGATTAACATATGGATTAACCTTCAGCAGCTTTTTTATCGTTTTAATGCCATTGAACACAACTTTTGATCAGAACAACAGCATACAGTAGGTAAGACAATGTCCCGTTTTTGCTCCGTAAAGCTCCGTGTTGTGATGTCTGTGTTTGCTTCCCCTGTCGCGAGTTCTGATCGCTCAGTGATGCTTATACCCCTAGAATCTGTGGAATCTCAGTTTGCTAATCGATATCTTGTTTGTGCAGATCCGATATGTAAGGGTATATATACCTAGAGTTCTGTGCTAAAGCATTTTTTTGCTCAGTGCTCATTTAGACGCTTCTTGTGAGGCTTGTGTTTTGTTTTGGTAAAAATGGTTCGTATTGTCAGTTAGCTGACTTTCTTCCCGTTAAGTGCGTATGACACATTAATAGGTTTTAAATGTTAAGAAGCCCTGAGACACAGTTTTGTGAAGAAAAAAAACTCTGCAGCTTCCGGGTTGAACAGGTTAACAGTGTGCTCTTTTAACATATTTTGTTTCGCAATATTTTAGATTGAGTTAGATTGAAGACTGTTGATATGGCACTTACGCCCTATTATGATAATTTTCAGGTTCTTACCTTCACTGAAAAAACTGAACCGTTGACTTTAAATATATGTATTACATCAGCAGATGTCACATAAAACAATATTAGGTCAGATGAAAGCATAATATTAAGTTTCAATACAAAATAATTGAGTTAAACTTAATATTATTGCTTTCAACTAACCTAATACAGTTTTGTGAAATTTGTTGACATTGTTAACATTTAATTTAAGTTAACGTTTCAGTTTTTTCAGTATAAGATGAGTGAATAGTCACTAGTCTTAACTTTTGGAGCTAGAGTGGGCTACCCACATTCCTTGAACTTTTCTCTAGGTCTTTCAAACTAAGATGAAGGCTCTCACCTGCTCCCCTTCTTTGACAAAATCTTTTCTGCAGATATGAGCCATGATGCCTGTGGCCAGTGCATCCCCCATCACATTCACCATGGTCCTGAATCGATCCCTTGATAATAAAAAGGATGAAAAGTAATGCACAGTGTCAAAGATGCTTGGGAAAATTTTATATTTTTCATCATCGGTTGAGATGTTTAGGTTATGCAATGTAAAGGCATAACATTTTTAAATACATCAAGTATGGTACTCATGCATAATTTGGTATTTACATATACAATATAAAAAATACTCATGCTAAGATGCTACAGAGTACAAAGACACTCAAACGTCATAACCACATGCTGAGTTGAAGAGCTTCACATGTTGGAAAGATGAACTCTTACTTACAAAGCCCAATCAACAGCAATGATGAGAGTGATATCATCGGTGGGCAGGCCCACAGAGGTCAGCACGATCACCATGGTTACGAGTCCAGCCTGTGGGATTCCTGCTGCTCCGATACTGGCTGCCGTGGCGGTGATGCTGATGGAGCGGAGAGGAGCATTTATTTTATATATAAATAAACAATTACAATTACTCATCATAGGTGAGAGCTAACTGACGGAAAGTGCGGCAGTTTGCCATCCTGTCAAGCTCTTCATTCTAGCATAACATTTGTAGTTTACAATAAAAAACTGGCGAAATATTTAATTCAATTCTTTAAAAATGTTTTTTTGTACCTGATTAACACAAATTCAGGCTCCTCATTTGTGGCATATGAATGGGAATTTGCTGGCTACAATTGTTGTATTGCCAGCAGATCAGATGTTGCTAGCTTTAACACTATTGCTTAATCTCAGAGTTGAATGTGCTCTCCGTCTCCAGCAGACATTTAATATTGACAGCTGACTCAACTTAGAATGATAAACAGGTAAAGTACGTTATTTTACAACGACCAACAAAATAATTGGCTAAAAACACAGACCTTGTGGTCGTGTCTAGATGCTAACCCTACATTTGCAAAACTTGCAAAACATACAAGACTTGCTGACCATTAGATTAATTCCTAACCTTAACATCTCGCAATAGTTTTGAAAACAGAGGGTTAGGATCTAGATGGGTCGGAGTAGAATGTGTTGGATGCTGTGTATAAATCAAAAACTTTAAATACGTTTTGAAAATGATATTATTGTAATTTTAAATGTTCTAATGACATAGAATGTATAAGTCGTAGCATTACATTTTTTAATTAAGTTAAGTATTGAAATAATGTAGGGAGAATGATTGAGGGGATATTTTATCCCACACCCGGACCTTTGATCACAAACTGACAAACTGTCCCTCTGCAGGGCTGGTGGGGGGGTTGTGGGGGTTAAGGGGTTGTGTTGGCATGCAGATGGAGCAGCTCCTTGGTCAGCCGCCAAACGGCACGGGAAAAGGGCGCAGAGAGAGGAAAATTATTATAATTCTGCTGTGACAAGGGAGATGAGTAATACAGGTCATATGGGTTTTACCGCCAAGGGATTATGACGGAATGGGCACAGACTGCAGCCATGAGGAGAGGTCTGCTTAATGTTATTACTGTTGGACATGAAATCAGAGGAAGGACAGGCCATTTTTAGACCTGGGTGGGCTTGATCTCCTGTGGTAAAAAAGTTATAGGGAGTCGATGGAAAGGGGTCTGTGTGTCTCTCGGTCTGTCTGTCTCTCGGTCTGTCTGTCTCTCGGTCTGTCTGTCTGTCTGTCTGTCTGTCTGTCTGTCTGTCTGTCTGTCTGTGTGGCTGTCTGTGTGGCTGTTTGTCTGTCTGACTTTTCTGTCTGACTGTCTGTGTTCCCGGGGCTTCCAGACCGATTTAGCAGAAATCAGATCAGACTAAGGAGCTCATATGAGATGTAATCTGTGTGACATTTACATATATGTGTATCTAGTAAATCCCATAATATTTGTTCTTAATTTAGAATTAAACTAAATGTGTGACGTTAGATTCATTCAAATGTTGCACTGAAAAAAACAAGTATGCCTGCTCTATGTTCTGACTCAGATGCAATTTATAGCTTATATCCTCACACTATCAAAGGTTTTCCTCATTCGTTCAATTTATATTGAGATAAGAATCTGTGCATAAAGAGTATTTAATGTGAATTATTTCATTCTATTTCCAAAAGAAGGCTGAGAAGATTGATACCCTACTCTAGTATCTGCACGGTTGATGTGAAGTCACAAACAGCAGCTTGCTAGTTTAGCTTAGCATTGAAACTACAAACGGTAAGAAAAGCTAGCCTCGACTCCATGTTCAAGGTCAGTAACTTAGTTCATTTTTTTCACACAGTTTTTTTAAGTAATCCAACCAAATTAATAAAAATATCGGCATCACAATTTCATCTCCGATATTTGACCGAGGAGCCAGGAGGATTTCATCCAACTGTGCTAATATCCTTCAATATTTTGCCTTCCCTCAACTGCTGACATATCTTACGCTTCATTATATTTCCACCAAAAGCTAATTTATTTTAGCCAGTCCCAGTATAAATGTACTTACCTGATCGTGATGATCTGTCCAAAGTCAAGCTCATAGTTATTAACTTGGGCGATGAAGATGGCTGCCACAGCCTCGTAGAGTGCGGTGCCGTCCATATTTATGGTGGCCCCGACAGGCAACACAAAGCGGATGATGCGTCTGTCGATGTGGTTGTTCTCAAGTAGGCACTTGAAGGTGATAGGCAGTGTGGCAGAGCTGAAGAAAAAACAACAACATTTGTTTAATTACGGTATATTAACATATACATATATGAAGACTCCTTTGAGACAAGCAGAGTTCGATTAAATACCACAACATGCTTTTACAGGGCTGTGGCCCTGAAACTCCTGCAGTTTTCTAAAACTGCCACAAATTGGTATAATACATTCTCCTATGTTTATTCTAAAAAAGTATAGAGACATATAGTTTTGTGTTGATGGGGGGAAAATGCTAGTCTTTGGGTTGATATACAAATACAAGAACATAATGTGTAGATATACCAATATTGAAGATGTCAATGAATATCCACAAAATGGTTGTGCAAGAGCCAACGTGCATACGCATAGATATATTTTATCAAAATGTAAGATTAGCTGTGATTTAAATGAGACTGAGGTTTGTTAGTGAACAACTGAATGCTGCAAAAACAAAATTTTATTTAGAGGTTTCGTTGGTTCTACCTCTTAGTAACTGTTAACTGCAACACATACTGTAAACAACCAGCAAATAGTTGTTTATCGGAACCTTCACTACCACACTGCAAGAAACATCACAATATTTCTCATCAGCAGCAGAAGATCAGTGAAGTGTAAATTGTCATCATACTGAACTAAGGTTGCAAGGTATAGTTTGGTTTCAAACGACACAAATATAGCCAATCTTAACATACAACCTTGAGGTGGTGTCAGATGTTAAAAGGGTAAAGGTCAAAGTAAAACCCCACAATCATCCAATGATTCAAGGAGAACTCTATTATCCACCCACATTTCAATTATTACCCTGCGGATGGTTTTACAACAACACAACCATCAGCAATAAGTGACTGGGAGGACGACAAATACAAATATTCTCATATGTGAATTCATGCAATGTGTTCAGTTATTTTGTATTGTCTCTCAGTGGCTCCCTCTTGAGGAACTCCAAAAGAAGCAAAGAATGTTAGCACACTGGCTGTTAAGAATAAAACATTTAGTGACAATGTTTTATATAATAACTCTCACTGCCAGAACGATATGCAGTGTTGAAAAGTGTAAATATTTGTCACTTATTTAATCTGGTGCCTGCTAGCTAGCTAGCCAGTTTACGAAAGATTTATAGATTGTTTAAAAAACTCTTTAGACACTCCGACCGTCCGTTCATGAACAGTCAGATCCTCCTTTCAGGTCCAACAATGTTTTTAATCAAGCGATGTTTGGATAAATTGGGAATGTTAATTTTTTTTTTCTCCTTGGAAAATTGTTAATTCTTAATGAAAGATATATTTTAAATCTTAAAAACGTTATCATAGCAATGCTAAGTGAACTTATTTTACTTGCTCTATAGTTGCAGTATCGCTCTAGTGTAGGAACAAAACAAGAGAATTCTACACAGCATGTTTGGCTCGGAAGAAAAACATCAGATTCACATGGCCCCAACGGTTATAAATAGATAAATCCAATGCAATATTCAATTTGGAAAAATCCAATCTTTTCATTTTACCTGGAGGAGGTGGCCAAGGAGATGAGAAGGGCCTGCAAAATTCCTCTTATGTACACAATGGGGCTCTTCTTAGTGATGAAGAAGTACATGGCCGGGAGGATGAAAAGGCCATGTAGCACCAAGCCCATTACCACCGTAATGGCGTAAAAACCCAGCTTCTTTCCCATGGCTGAAGGGTCATCCATCTCCAAGATCTTACCGGCAACCAGAAAGACGATGCCAAAAGGGAAATACCTTTAAGGGACAGAAGAAAGGTAGAGTATTTGTTTACTAAAAGACAACCACAACCTGTTGTTGCTGTTCTATTCTTTTCTAAATGAGTGTTTTTTTTTCTTCAAGTCTCAGCACTCATGATGCATTTACTGTTCAAAAACACTTCTATATTCCTGCTAGTGGTTCTTTGATCCAAACGCTAGAATACAATCCAATACGATACCATCCCAGGAGCACATGAATGCACCATTGGCGTGAGTCCTCAGAGTGCTATTTGATTTATAAAGGTATTGGTAATTTTGTGTAGATTGGATAAATTAAAATGTGGGGGTTACAAAAAATATACCAATTAGCTCTGAGGGGACATACATGACTAAATCAAATGTCATAAAAAATCATCCCAACACAGGAGCCATGATCATCTGAACACGTTTTCTGGAAATGTAGAATTCAGATTTTGACATGCATAACATATAAAGTTAGGGGACAACCAAAGTCAAAAAGATTAATTCCCTGGGCACCCTACATCTAATTAAAATGTTATAGCAATCGGTCCAATAGTTTAGAAACTTCATTAAAAAACATCATATCAATCTTATAGTGTTACATTAGAACAGGGGTTGCCAACACGTCGATCGCGAGCTACCAGTAGCTCGCGGAGGTTTTCCGAGTAGCTCACCAGAGGGCGCTAAAGTGCAGTTGACATGTTGAGACATATTTATTTATGTAGTATATTTTGAGAGTAAGAAAGATAGAGAAAAAGAGATGTAAGATGCAGTCATGACAACTGAGGAAGGTCCGTCAAAGAAGAAATCTAAAATATACTACTTTCATGACGAGTGGGAACATGCATTTTTATTTACGAGCATCAAAGACAAGTGTGTGTGTTTAATTTGTGGCTCGAGTGTTGCGGTGGGGAAGAAGGGAAATGTCGAGCGGCACTTCACAAAACTTCACGAAAACTTTTCAAAGGAGTATCCCGCCGGCAGTTGCCTTCGCGTTGAGAAGGTACAACAATTAAAAGCTACGCTACAAAGGCAGCAGTCATTGTTCACGAAGCCTGCCAAGAAAGCTAGCCTAGCTACAGAAGCATCGTTCCGAGTCGCTCAGTATTTGGCAAAGAACAAAAAAGCTTTCACTGATGGCGGTGTTCTTAAGGGAGCGATGTCTGTTATGGCAGAGACTTTGTTCAGAGACCACAAGAGCAAGTCGGAGATAATGTCTGCCATTGACGATGTGCAACTGGGAAACAACACTGTGGCGAGGAGAGTGTCGGCGCTGTCAGTGGATGCCATGGGACAGTTGGAGCGGGACATGGTCAGGTGCAAGTGGTTCTCCATACAGTGCGAAGAGTCGGTGGATGCGAGCGACACAGCTCAGCTGTCTGTGTTCATCCGGATGGTGTTTGAGGATTTTACGGCGAAAGAGGAATTTCTGACACTGCTTCCACTCAAAACAACAACAAGAGGTGTGGACGTGTATAATTCTATTAAGAATTATTTCATAAATAAAGGCGTGCAAATGGAGAAGCTTGTATCCATAACAACTGATGGACGCCACCGGTTTTATCGCAAATTGTAAGTCAGATCCATATTTCCCACGTTTCCTGAGTTACCATTGCATCATTCACCAAGAAGCACTTTGTGCCAAAGTTATGGACTTCAATCACGTCATGAAACCTGTGATACAAATAATAAACTCTATCCGAGCGAAGGCAAAGCAACACAGGAGCTTCAAAGTTTTTCTTGAGGAACTGTCAGCTGAATATGGAGATCTCCTTCTCCATGCTGAGGTGAGGTGGTTGAGTAGAGGGAAAATCCTACAGCGCTTCCTCTCCTTGCTGAATGAGGTAAAGCTCTTCATGGAAGAGAGGGGGGAGGACACCTCCATCTTATCTGATGCTGGTTGGGTACTTGACCTGGCCTTTTTGACTGATCTGACAGGAAAATTAAACCAGCTTAACCTCCAGCTACAAGGCAATGGCAAAACAGTATGTGACATGATTAGTGCTGTAAAGGCCTTTAAAGCAAATCTGTGTCTATATCTTCAGCAAGTAAAGGGAAATAAATTGCATCATTTCCCCTCTGTTCAAAAAGTACTGCAGGAGAATAAAGCTGCTGCTGGCTTTCTTGACTTATCAAAGTACTGTGACTGCTTAACTAAGCTTGGGCAGGAATTTGAGGACAGGTTTCTTGACTTTAAGCAGCTTGAGCCCTGTGCAAGTTTCCTTGCTAACCCATTCAACATCGTGGATGTTACTGACATGTCTGAGCAACTGGCCAGCTTTTTCAGTCTCAGTGCTTCAGAGTTGGAGCTGGAGATAATCAATCTCCAGAATGACATTCAGCTGAAAGCACATCAGATGGACAAAGATTTCTGGAAGCTATTGGACCCAGAGAAATTCAAAAACATTCAAACTGCTGCACTGAAACTGTCCTGCTTATTTGGGTCAACATATCGCTGTGAATCAGCATTCTCTGATATGAACTTTATCAAATCCAAATTCAGGACAAGACTTACTGATGAACACCTCAATGACTCAATCAGAGTGAATTTGTCAGGATACACACCCCAGTACAGTGCTCTGGTGGATGCTATGCAGTGCCAGGTGTCACATTAGCTGAGTCAGGAGAAAGACAACAATGCAGTGACAGACTGAATGTTTGAAGACATATGTTTGCTTGATGCAAGTTGAGAAAAGCACAAGCCATATTCCCCTTTTACATGTGAAACAAATTTGTGAAATGCTTGAAATAATTTAAATTATAGAGCTAGAAATGTTATTATTACAATTAGGAACTTTGCACTCTTATCTGTAAAACTGTTTACTGTAGTTATTGATGTTAAAGCAGAACTCAGTATTGCATGGTGATTATTTGTCTTTTTTTCTCTTCATGAGAAAGTGAAGTTTATTCATGTTAATGTTAATGTTTCTGCTCTTGAGTCACGAATGTGATATGTGCACTGAAATCTATATAAAATAACATGAGTAGCTCTTGGCCACTTTCTTTTTTCAAAAGTAGCTCCCGGTTAGAAAAAGGTTGGAGACCCCTGCGTAGATTAGAATAACTCAGGGATCAACAATATAGTGTGATTCATCCTCTGGGGAACATGAATGCCTTTACTAATGTCATAGTGAATTACTGACAAAGGCGCTGATATTATCAGCCATAAAGCCAAGCAAAAAACGAGAAATTCCAAATTCTTCTTCAGCTACAATAATAATCAATAGTATTAGTATCAGCAAAACTGCTTAATTGAATTAATTTAGGTGTTTCTTACTTCCAAGATATAACTCTTACCAGATGACAATGGCAACGATCTTCAGAACGGCCTCATTCACACTCTGGCAGAAGTTGACCAAAGCGCTTCCGTTGGGTCCCATTCTTCCTAACATAATTCCTGGATAGAAAAAGAGAACCACAACAACATAGATCACATTCATTGTTTGTTAAATGCATCAATTATAAACCTCCACTGATGCACCCACAGTGTTAATTGATGGAGGTCACCATTTCTTTGTTCTCTGCGTTCCACATGGAATCACAGCCCATTATAAACGTAAGTATGCAGGAATATAATTGCCAAGATTGCAATTATGTAACTTAACTCTGAAGATGTGTGTGCGGGATATATGCCAACCACTTACCCATGGTAGCTGAAAAAATTACTATCCCAAGCACATTCATGCCTTCACTGGTACCAGGTGATGTTTTCATGATGACATCAGGCGGTGGCGTGAGATCCAGGGAGAAATTCTGTATATCTGTGCCATTGTCGTCCTGGATGCCGTAGATGTAGACCCTGCGCGTGGTGGTTTCATCCAGGAGCTGAGCCACCGTTGGTTTGGGGATGAGCTCAGGAACTCTCTGGGTTCGATACTTGAGACCAAAGACAGAGCCAACATCAGCACAGACATGACACCAACAGAGATGTTCAGGGCAGCGGATCCTCACATAATAATGATCTATACATGGGCTCTTTTCAAAGGTGTACAGATTTGAATTAGAAGATTCACATAATGGGAGTGGATTGCAGAAGACGTGCCGTTATTTAATTTTTTTAGTCAGTTCAATGTTTTTCCGATTAAGATAATTATTTTCTTCACTTTTATTTTTACTTATTGATTTTTTCCCCCTTTTTTTTCTGTGTGTCTTTTCCATTAACATTTGTGCTTACCTGCTGAAAAGTGGCTTGAACCAGGTTCGCTGGAAACATGTTGCTGTGGAAGAAAATTTTGAGAAATATTTTAGATGGAATATGAGGCTACATATATATATAAATACACTTATAATGTCATATATATATATATATATATATATATGTATTTTCAAGGTTAATTGTCATTCAAAGCAATAACATCACATTTAATGGAAGGTCAAAATTCATAATGACATAATAAAATCTTAAACCAAAAGTAACTAGTCACCATTGACGCTAACCTTGGAAAAAGATAGGTTGATATCTTGTTAAAAAACATACAGCTCTGGAAAAAACTAAGAGATCACTCCAAATTGTTCTTAAATCTCTACATGTATTGCCCTTCCAGTGTCTGTTGAATTCCAGCAGAGAGAAATGTTGTCAGTAGTTTATAGAATAAAAAATAAATAATACAAATTATACTCAAAAACATACCTAAAACCAGAGAAACTAATAATTTTTCACTGGTCTCTTAGTTATTTCCAGAGCTGTATATATTGATGTTGTGTATCCAGTGTCTGTTAAATCATTTCTGTCCCCATCTGTAGTGTTTTACTCAAACATCCCAGTGAAAAGAGGAACTATCACGAATGGTTAGTGTTTTTCCCCATTGATCGTGGCTGCTAAGAATCTTCGCAATCTTCACTATTTTCCACACTGAAAGCTGGTCAGGCAACTGGTTAGTTGTAACCTTTAACCATGACCCCTAATAAGCGCACTCTTATTTAATCCGAGCACAATTATATTGAGTGTTCTTCCTGCCAAAGGTAACTGCAGCAGAGATGACTCAGGTGCTCCAAGATAAAGAAGGGGTGAAACCTGAAGATGGAGGAACAGGTAGAGTAGCGTAATTTTAGGAAATTGGATGCCCAGCTGAGCTGAGATGAAGGCTTGTTCTTCAGAGATAACTCATCCACAGAAACGAAAAGGAAAAAAGAACAGATTGGGAAATACAGTATTAATACTACTTTTCCTTTGAGGAGTATGAATCTTCATGTCAATGGTTGTTGTGTTTTCCTACCATTGTCAGAAGACATGCAATAAAAAATGGACAGAACCCCAGCGGGACATGGTAGTGACCTGTCAATCACAAGCTAGCCACGCCCTAAAGCATACGCTGTGTTGTGTCTCGTCAAATGTGTTAGTTATGTCTATGTATTTTGTCTGTCATTTCCTGTTTTATTTTGCACTTACCTCTTGTCTTTCATTTCAGGCCCTGTTTCTTCCTCCACTTTGGTTTTTTTCCCGCCATCATCAGTGTCTGCCCCGCCCCTGATTGTTTCCACCTGTTCCCACTCACCTCTTGTTTAAATAGTCCTGTCTCTCCCCTGTCCTGTGTCAGTTTGTCTTGTTTGTTTCCCTGAATGGTCGTGCCAAGCCTCAGCTAAAAAAAAGATTGCTTTCACTCATTTCAGGTTTTGTTGTTTTGTTAATTTTGTAGGCTTACATTTCTTTCTTAAGTTCTCTTTTTGTTATGCATAGTTTTTCCTCCTTGAGAGTGCTTTTTGTTGATTCAAGTACCTACTCTGTTAAAAGTAATTCCCTGATCTTTGAAATTAGAGACACTTTTTTTACATTGAAGACTTTGTCGTGCATTTGGGTCCATCAGTTTGTGTCAAGGTCCTGACACGTTGCTTTATCTTCTATTTTACTCTAAACACAAATCATACATTACATTTTCACATTACATTGCATTTAGCTGACGCTTTTATCCAAAGCGACTTACAATAAATGCATTCGACCAAGAAGATACAAACTTGAAGAAAACAGAATCATATACGTAAGTACATCAGGTTTCATAGAACCAAACCATTTTAAGTGCTACTCAACTGGCTTTAGATAAGCCAGTCCTTTGTTAGTATATAAGTGCTTTGTTAGTATGTAAGTGCTTAGTTAGTAATTCTATCGCTCGAAGTGGAGTCGAAAGGGATGAGTTTTCAGTCTGCGCCGGAAGATGTGTAGGCTTTCTTCTGTCCTGATGTCAATGGGGGGCTCATTCCACCATTTTGGAGCCAGGATAGCAAACCGACGTGTTTTTGCTGATGGGAACTTGGGTCCCCCTCGCAGTGCGGGTGCAGCGAGCCGTTTGGCTGATGCCGAGCGGAGTGCACGTGCTGGGGTGTATGTACGTTTAACCATGTCCTGGATGTAGGAAGGGCCAGATCCATTCACAGCATGGTACGCAAGTACCATTGTCTTGAAGTGGATTCTAGCAGTTACTGGAAGCCAGTGAAGGGAGCAGAGGAGCGGTGTGGTGTGGGAAAATGTAGGAAGGTTGAAGACCAGACGAGCCGCTGCATTCTAGAGGAGCTGCAGAGGTCGGATGGCACATGCAGGTAGACCAGCCAGGAGGGAGTTGCAGTAGTCTAGGCGTGAGATGACGAGAGCCTGGACCAGAAGCTGCGTCGCTTTCTGGGTCAGGGGGGGACGTATCCTCCTGATGTTGTAAAGAGTGTATCTACAGCAGCGGGTTGTAGCAGCGATGTTTGCAGTGAAGGACAGTTTGTTATCTAGGATCACACCCAGATTCCTTGCAATCTGAGTCGGTGAAACAACAGAGGGGCCGATGTTGATTTTTAGGTCAAGGGTGGGACAATCTTTTCCCGGAAGAAAAAGCAGTTCAGTCTTGTCAAGGTTGAGCTTGAGGTGGTGAGCAGACATCCACTGAGAGATGTCTGCTAGACGAGCAGAGATGCGTGCGACAACATGGGTTTCAGAACGGGGAAAAAACAGAATGAATTGGGTGTCGTCAGCGTAGCAACGGTATGAAAAACCATGCGGGCTAATGACTGATCCGAGCGAGTTTGTGTGCAGAGAGAAGAGGAGGGGACCAAGGATAGAGCCCTGAGGGACCTCTGTAGTTAATTGACAAGGGTCAGACTCGGACCCTCTCCAAGTTACCCTGTAGGTGCGGTCTTTGAGGTATGAGGTGAGGAGGGAAAGTGCAGAGCCTGAAACTCCAAGTTCTTGGAGAGTACGAAGGAGGATCTGATGGTTCACCGTGTCGAATGCAGCAGACAGGTCCAACAGGATGATTACAGAGGAGAGGGAGGCTGCTTTAGCAGTGTGCAGTTCCTCAGAGACAGCGAGGAGAGCAGTTTCTATGGAGTGACCTGCCTTGAAACCACACTGGTGCGGATCAAAAAGGTTTTTCTGATGGAGATAACAGGAGAGTTGTTTAAAGACCGCGCGTTCAAGTGTTTTAGACAGGAACGGGAGGAGAGAGACAGGCCTGTAGTTTATAACATCAGATGGGTTGAGAGTGGGTTTCTTTCATAGACTGTATATATAAATGGACGTAGTGTCCGTGACGTCACCCATAGGATTTTGCAGAGTTGCCGAGAAGCCCTTAGTAGGCGGAGTCGGCCACTAACGCTTGACAGCGATGTCAGAGTCTAATCCCGCCTGCTCCAAATAAGGGCAAAGAGGCGGAGCCGAGGCAGGACCTGCTGCCTCCGAACTGGAAGTAAACAGAGCTAGCTCAGGCTAAGAAGCTAAGCTAACATGAAATACATGCATACCAAGTTACTGCTAACAGTGTAGTTCCCCTATATAAACGTTACATTCATAATCAAAGGAGACAATCTGCAAGAGAATTAGCTATATTTTGTTATTCTTAATGCTTGTCATTCACACGTTAAGAAAATAAGTACCGATACATAGCAGAACAATTGTGGCGATGTTCAGCTTAATAAGCCTTGTTCAACATAATTTATTTAGCTAATACTACAGCAGGCGAACCAAGTCTGCGTTTCGCTGCATTCCTTGATCTCCAGTTATAATGACGGACTCCATCGCCCGGACCTAACGGCGCCGCAGTGGGCTAGCTCCGGGACGCCGGCTGGAGCTAGCCCCCTGCGAGCTAGCCCCCCCCTAGCTCCGGCGGCCACCACTGGGATAATTGGGTCCCCTATTAACATTTGCTCCCGTTTAGCATTATGGGCGTCATAGCCATAGACTATAAAAGTCTTACCCAAGGCTGAATCATAAACTAAAATGTATATCTATGTATAAAGGGTTACGTCCTTAGCTGGCTAATAAGTAACAAGCTAAGCTACCAAGCAAACAAACACCTGCGAACGGGATTAACATGTATAATATTATAATTTTAGACTTCTTGGAAGTTCTGTTAGTACATTCAAGCGCACAGCACGACATTTTAATTGTCTGGTATTTGTAACAATATTCCCTAAAAGGCACAATCACCACGAACACGGCTAAAGCTAAAGGGTCAAGTACAGTACTATGACTAACTAACGTTGTAGCCTCTATGGTTGTAGCCTAGCAGAGTGGACAGGTTGCTGTTACCTGACAGTGAGGCATGTACATGTCCATCAAAGTGACCACGCCCTAATTTATGCAAAAACTTTAAGACCTAATATAAATAAAAGGGTCGTGTTAGAAAACAATTCACTCAGATTCATAATCATGAAGGTGGAATCTAACTATATCGATAATAATATTTATTGCATCCATGGGTATAAACATGTTTTTTTTTTCTGCTGTAAAATTGGGCATTTTAACATGGGGGTCTATGGAAATTGCTCCTTTCTGTAGTCAGTCCCTAGCGGCCCATGTATGAACTGCAGTGTGTTGCACTTCCGTATTGGCGTCCCGGCTGTTCTCCAGAGTTTGCCGCTTGGGGATTACCCAATAGCGATAGCCTTAGAGGGTGAAGTCTATACGAAATAGAACAGGCAAACAGGAACCAGGAAACACGGGCTGTAATCGAGGTCGGGGACAGAAGGCTGAGACGTTCAATGGGAAATCAGTCCGGAAAAGAAAGCGGGAAGGGCTTGCATGTAGAGGACAAAGAAAAAATCCTTCTTCTTCTTCATTGGTGTTTTACGGCAGTTTGCATCCATAGTGTTTCATTGCTGCCTCCTGGCAAAGAGGTGTAGTGAGGCAGGAGCTTAAATAGCAGGCTGATTGGATGTGATGCAGGTGAGTGAGCAGGTAAGCAGAGTCAGGCTGATGAGAGGGTGATCTGATTAATGACTCAAATGCAGACTCATTTA